TCTTCCTGAAACCCAAGGAAGAAAGGGTTTGTGATGTGGCAAGTTGTCCTGTATTGAAGGGAGACTTGAGAGGATTACAGTACTGCCCATCACTACAACACAAAAGTGTAGTTGAATTTACAAGTCAGGTCCCAGGGGCCAAACAAGACAAAAAAAAAATCCTGAAACCCAAGGAAGAAAGGGTTTGTGATGTGGCAAGTTGTCCTGTATTGAAGGGAGACTTGAGAGGATTACAGTACTGCCCATCACTACAACACAAAAGTGTAGTTGAATTTACAAGTCAGGTCCCAGGGGCCAAACAAGAAAAAAAATAAATCTGACTGCTTATAGCTAGAAGTACCAAAATACAAAGATGGCTATCATGGAACCAGCATATTATCTACTACAGCCACAGATGGGAAGACAAGTTTAACTTCACCTCCCAAAATACTGGGCAATTGCACCATTCCGGACTTTCCTCTCAGGTCTGCAAAGCCCACTTCTGCTGTGGGCCATCTACAGCCTGCAGAGAGGAGCATGAGCCCTAGCAACCCAGTGGCACAAGCAGGAAGCGCTCCCTCTCCCACTATCCACCCAAACCATCACCTGTGCAGCCTACTTGTTTTTAGGGCCAATACGTGTTCCTTTGTCTACACAGCCCAAGTTAAAAGCGTCAGTTTTGAGGCTATCAAACAGGATTTCTTCACAAAAAACAACTCACCTTGGCTTTCATTTTTTCTTTTTCAGCATTGTCATTCAGCTGCTGAATTTTGAACCTCATTTGTTGGATTTCCTTGTGAATGGCCATCACCTTATCATGCACAGCACCTCTCTTCTCAGAAATTCTGCTACAATATCTAAAGGTGGGAAGAAAAAAAAATTAGTACTGAGCCATTTGACTAATTCCAGACTAAACTTAACCCCAACACAAGCAAAGCTTGCATTTTACGAGAATGAAATTACCAGCTTCTAGAAGCAGTGCTGTACTTGCTTGGAAATTTGCCCAGTTCTTAAACTAGAGCCCCAACACAAGCAAAGCTTGCATTTTACGAGCATGAAATTACCAGTTTCTAGAAGCAGTGCTGTACTTGCTTGGAAGTTTGCCCAGTTCTTAAACTAGAACAACTCAGGCACAAAAAGTGAGATGTAAAGTGGAGTTAGAGGAATACACTGAAGATGCTCAGTTGCTACCAATCAAGGCAACTCAAGCGACTTCAGTGGAGCCAACCCAGCAGACAGCTGGACATTGCATCTTCCTGCCTTTGAGTACTGCAGTACAGGTGGCAGTGGAGAACCCTGCCTAGACACCAGCCACTGGACCAGGTTAGAAGCAACGTAGCTGCACTTGATGTTTCAGCACAATTCCAAGTCACACATTTTCCTTAGCCTCAAATCTCCTCCCACCAAGTTACAGCTCCAATCCCATGTATCTATGTATGTTATCTGCAACTTCCTGTCCATCATGTCATTGCAGCCCGAGGACCAAATAGTATTTCCTCAGCCTGCAGGTAAATTCAGACAGCTCCAGCTGTGAGCTGCCATGTAATCAGCCAATGGTTAGTGTGGAAACAGATCTACTCTGACTTCAAACGCAGAAAACACTCACCAGTTTATACTAAGCATTTGTACAATAATTACAGTTGGAACTGTAGCAGCTGCTTTCTCTAAAGAAAGGCTGAAATCATCCATACTTAGCAAGAGTCTACTTGCATCTCCCTACCTCAAGGGAAGAGTCAGGATACATTCTCTTATTCACCAAACACTCTCGTTTTCAAACCAAGGTTACCTCCCTTCCCTTCTTGCTTATCTAAGCATCCAATTTTGTCCATCAAGGGAAATATCCAATACATTAAAATCAGATAAATTGGGAGCAACTTTTAACATAAAGGAGCATTAGATTATGTTATTTTCAGTCCTTATTTGGAATGAAAAATAGCTTTTAATTAAATCTGCTTTAGCTGGTCCAATACACTAGATGAGGAGCAAAGAATGCTTGGGAATCTTGCTGCCATTCTACACAACACACAAACCTTTCATCACGACTGCATCTTAGTTGAGTCTCTCAACTATGTAGAAAAAGCTCTTTTCCATCATAGTTAATCTATCCACCCAATAATTTTCCATATTCCCTTCCCTATCCATATTTTAAAGTGTTATATAATAAGCTTTCTCTATAACAGCTCAACACTTCTAATCTCACAGCAGAGCCACAACCTTACAACGCTGCAGTTTGCTGTTACAGAAGTGACTGCTGTGCTGTAAACACTGCCTTGCAACTTGCCTTTAGCATACGGGAGGAAGGAAGATGGGCTAAGAGGCTTTGATCAAATGACACTTTTCCTTTTGTTTTAGAAGCATCATGTCAGGATAATACTCCTCTGAGATACGAGCCCCATTTCCCCATGGGTCTTGAACATCTTTGATAATGAGCAAAAGTGGCAAGGGAAATTATGAAAAATTCATGAAAGGCAAATGGGGCTTTGTTGAAGTCTGATAAGTTGGAAAATTATCCCAATGTGACATTCTCTTTAAGAAGATAAAAGAATCAAGAATAAGCATTATAAATTAAATTAGTGCTCCAATAAAAGAATTGCTGTCAAGTCACATTGCAATTATTGATTTGAGACCCCAAGTCCCTGCCTGCAGCATTACTGGTCTCCATACAAAGCTATCCCACATCGCTCATTTTCTTCTTACTGCTAAGCTACGTGTTAGTATCAGAGACAAACTTTGGGAGCGCATAACGAAGACATAAAGCAGCATCAGGCTGAAGTGTCAACTCATCCATACTCAAATGCACTGTGCTTATTTTGCTCAAAATCTTCAAGCTTCTTTTTTATCCTTATTTCAGCTGTAGACAACTTCTCATGTTTTGCTGTGACCAGTCTCTTCAAGGACATTTCATCTGTCTTCCCTGTTTTCAGCTCGCTCCGAGCACTCTCAAGCTGGTCCTCCAGATTTCTGACCTAGAGTACGTAAGTATTGAAACAAGTTAAATAGGGGGAAAAGAAAACGAAATATATCCTGTTAGTTTATTAAGATCTGAACTAGCTTCCTGCTTTTTGAATATGTAATTGCTAATTCTCCCAGTTAAATCCCAATTCCTTGGTCTTTATCTGAACCAAATGGACAGGATCCCATCACTTAGAATGATTTTTCAGGAGTTACTATGAGTTCTGCTATAGCTCTCAGCCACGGGTAATCTGAACATACACTGTACAAATAGCCCAAAGGACTGCATAGCGTTTTGCAAACACTCCTAACAATTGCATTCTCCCAAAACTGAATAGCAAATAGCAGGGTGCTGTATTGTGACAAACATTCCATCAGGGGAAGGCCGGCTTAATAATATTAATCAAGTTAAAGGCACTTAATACACAACTCTTCTTGAAGTAGTAATTTTTCGCTCTTAGCTTCTGCTCTCTAGACAGAAGAAACTGGATCTCACTTTTCTTCTTCCATCATTTCCTACCAAAAACCCCAAGACAGTACAAACTATTTCAGGTCAGGTTTCTATAGCAACAAAGGCTTTGACTATTAAGAGTGGTCAACAGTACATTAACTAGTGGCACGCAGCAAAGCAGCAGCTCTGTTTTAGTGATGTTTTTAAGAATGAGACTTTGAAGTTATCCAAATTATTTTCTTTTGGGACAGATAACTTTCAAAATACGGATGTTTACCGATGATCACCTATCTTGCTTAGATATTAAGGTCTCCCTGATGAGATATAACTTGAATGATACAAACCTTTGATAATACACAAGCCAGTTCCTCCACATCCGCTCCCTGTATTTCCATTTTCTTTTGGTATAACTGCAGCTCCGTTTGGCATGACGTCAGAAACTCACTTAGGTCTCTATAACCTTCGTATTTCTCAATAACTTCTTGCTTTAAAAAGAAAAGACTATTAATAAAAAAAGCTTTGGAGTCCAGCAGTTATTTCATCTAGCATTAATGCACATTGACTTTTGTACTCATTCCTTTACTGTTTCACATACACTGCAATTAATGTGTAGTAGTTACTGAAATAAGATTTCAGTTTGTAAAAAAAGAAGTATTTATTTGGAAAGCACAAGAAAAGTGACATGCAAGTGTTTTACACTGAACTAGCTAGCTTGTTATAAGAGCTTTCAGGACAAAAGCTATACAGTGAAGAAATTCTATGCTGTTAAAATAGGAGTCACATAAAGCATCATAAAAACAGGGGTCTGGAATTACAGCAATAAAGGTTACATCCTTGGAACAAAAATACCTAGGGAGACAAAGTTATGCAAGCTTCAGTGATTTATGAGGGATTGTGAACTACGAATACTGAAAGACTGGACATTATTATAAAGAAAAAAGAACAGAAAAAGCTAGGAAAGGAGCTCAGTGTTCAGCATTTAAACAGCCATCAGTTCCAGAAAAAGTGACTCATAACAGACACTAGGAAGCATGTGTTTTACATCCAAGGACATTTGTGATCTGCCAAAATATTGTCATCTCTTGAGAGCAAACAGTGAGACAGGTATAGAATAGATTCAATAGCTCTACACCTAGTTTCACAAATAAACACTTGGCTCATCGAGGACAAAGCAGCAGTGACTGCAATCCTGCTTTAAAAAAACAAAACAAAACAAAACCCCCCAAACAAACAAAAAAACCCAGAAAAACCACCACTAGAAAGACACCAACACAAACAAACAAAAAAACAAACAAGAAGAAAATCTACCCCCACAACCACAACCCAGTTTTCTCTGAAGTTGTGATTTCATTTCATGCTAACCACTGTTCTGTTGATTTTTGACCAGAAGTGTAAGTCATTCAATACACAGCTCTAGATGATGACAGTTCAGTAAAACGCACTTCTTCTCACAGAATACCTCCTTTTGTGAGTAGAGGAAAACATCACCTTGGATTTCTTTAATTTCTTGATAGTCTCTTTCATCAGTTCGTTGTAATTTTTCAGTTCCTCTGGATTCTCTACAATTTTTGATTTCAGCTGCTCTTGCTCTTCTTTTGAAGTAGCCACTGTCACTTTGAGTTCATTCTAGTTAATAAGACAAACACACTGTCAATATTAGCAATTAGGGGAACAAAGAGGAATTGCGAGGCATTGTTTGCTAGGATCTTATGACTACACGGATTCTTTTCTCTGTTGTAAGCCATTAAAGTTTGCTTTAAAAATAAATTCTTCTCAACAGCATTAACATTCCAAACCAAAGCAGTTTACAATCCATTTTGCTCCCTGAACACGTGTACAACATACACACTAAGTCACAAATACAGCATCTAACTAGTGCTCCACAAAAATCAGAGCCCCTCACCTAGGGCAACCCAGGCAGCAACTGCAGTTTCAGAGCCAGCTCTATCAACCTGGTGGAGGAGCTATAAGCTTCCTGTGCAACCTCTCAAAAACCTCCTGGTTTGTCCCCACCAGGTTAGTGACTGCCTCAATAGCCATTCTATGCACCTAAGGTGAGCCTATAGTTTCTCAGAAGTCCAGCTGCCTTGCCCTTTAACACATCAGCTTCCTAAACACAGAGCTTTACATTACAGAGGTGTGCATTAAAATTAACAACAAAACAAGATACTGCAGTAAAGCTTCCACAGGGAGTGAGGGAGAGAATGAACCAAATCGGTTTTATAAAAAGCTAATAATCAGCACCTGAACATTACCCAGCTCCAAGACTAATTTGATTCTGGAGACGATCTATTAGTCGATGATCAATAGTAGTAGATAATCAATCTATCAATTCGAGATGCAAGCTACAGCCTACACCTACACAGAGGTGTACTTACCAGTTTTCGGGTACTCTCTGCAATATCTGACTTCTTTTGCGAAATCACTTCTTGCAGAGCTGTCTAAAAAAAAAAAGCAACAAACTTCAAATAAGCATCTCTACAACTGCTACCTCCTTTACCCTACTAACATAGATCTGTCCATAAGAGAAATCTCATTTACCATAACTAACAGGAAACGTTGCTGTCTGTAAGATTTAAAAGATGGGGAAGGAAAGCCTTCCTGCAAAAGCTACTAGGAACATCAGGGAGCACCAGCCAGCAGTAGGTAACTAAGAACAGGGATAAGAGACAGACTACCTCTATTCTTAATGACACTGGTAGCATTATATACACACAACTTTATTCACCAGAGGCACAGTTATTGAGAAAAAACTAATACACGGTCCCCAATAACATGAAAGTCAATAACACATTTAATAGCATTAATAGGCGAAAGATGACTTAACAAAAAAACCCACAGAGGTGTTTTGAATATAAATTTTAAAAGTCCCAAACAGCTGAAAAGGTTGCCTAAGAGACCCTAGAGACAAGTTGCCATTGCTGGAAAGTTATCCCTTTGATCAACCCTACTCTCTTTGCCAGGCATCCCCTTGGTGACCCTTCTTAGGCCTCATTTCCTGCCATGTCTCACCTCCAGTTCCAATTCTTCAAATTCAGGTGAAAAGGAAAGCAAAAATTCATCAGGGAATCATATACATCACACTTCTGAACAATAACACAGGTATCTCCCAAGCCACGGGGGTAATCCATTTCAAAAGCAGTCAAATACACTTTCATATTCCCCAAGTCTGATTTCAAGTACATTCCACATTCCTTATATTGAAATGAGGAGTTAGGAGTTAGACAAGACACAGTGTTGCAATAAACTTGGTTTTAAATCAGAAAAGTCCCCTTAATCCTTTGTAGAAGTAGAGGGAGGGGAACAAAATCAACAGAAATAAGGAATATCCATAATCAGAAGCCATAGCAACATTTCAGATAGATAGATAGACAGAAGATCATACTTGTTTCCGATGATAGTCTTGCCTGAGCAGTTGCTCCAGTTCTCGAATGTTGTCTGTCAGTTGCTCGACCTCTGCTTGATGTTCAGCTGGAATGGTGCTAAGCAAACAATAAATATTGAGCAGTTTTAGCATCATTACAGTCGTGTCACGGTACAGCAGATCAAACAACCACTCTCTCCAAAGAGTTTACAACCAGTAGCTTTAGTAACCAGGGCTAAGCAGTCTCAATACGTCTTATTTTCCTTTGCTTGTAAGATTTTGTAGTTGGAGCATAAGCTAAATAGCTATTTTGGCAAGAAGTGGTACAAGCATAACAAAGGACTAAGCTTGAAGATAATTTTAACCAGAGCACAAAAGAACAACACTTCTACCAATTTTTGTGACGATTTTCATCTACTAAATTTGCCCAGTATTACCTGTCAGAAAAACAGCTTGCGTTAGGGTAAGCCTATAGCTACCTAGAAAGCCTCCTGTCTAGCACATACAAAGAACAGCTATTACAGAAAAAATAAACCTTAGCTTTCAAAACTATCCTGGAAACCAGCCATCCCTTCATCCTCTTATCCACAAGCAAAACCAAAACACTTAATGGTGCAAAGATACATGCAGGAGGACTAAATGGCCTGAAAACACAGGGCAAATGGGGCAAACACGTCAAATAACTAAGGAAGACAACTTTACCCATCTATCATGTTATAGATGTACTTCCTACAGCTATTGAAGACATAGTCACCAGCACACAAAGTACAGTATCCTCTCAAAACAACCATAATCTCCCAAAGTCACATTTCTATTTTCCGCCAGCAACTCTTCTAGCCCAAGGCCAGAAAGGCTACTTCTGTGCCTGCGCACAACTCAACAGCAACGTATCTACATCTTCTGGCTTATTTCCAGGGAGGCTAACCAGCACCAGTCAGACAAAGGCCAAAGGAGAAGTCAAGTCTAGTCAAAAGTTCCTACAGTAGCTATCAAACAATTCTGTCACATCACACAGTTCAACTATTCAGTTCCTGTTTAGGCACCCTATATAGAACCATTTAGGTTGAAAGAGATCCTTCGCCATCAAGTAAGCCATTAACCTGCCAACCCCACCACTAAACCACATCCCTAAACACCACATCTGCTCATCATTTAATTACATCCAGGGATGGCAACTCCAGCACTTCCCTAGGCAGCCTGTTCCAATGCTTGACAACCCCTTCAGTGAAAACAATTGTAATAAAATCCAATCTAGGCCTCCCCTGGCACAACTTGAGGCCATTTCTTCTTGTCCTATTGCTTGTTACTTGGCAGAAGAGACCAAGCCCCACCTGGCTACAACTTTTAGGTAGCTGTAGAGAGCGATAAGGTCTTCCCCAAGCCTCCTTTTCTCCAGACTAAATAACCCTAGGACCCTCAGCTGCTCCTCATGAGTCTCATGCTCTAGACCCTTCCCTAGCTTCATTGCCCTTCTCTGGACTCACTCCAGCACCTCAACGTCTTTCTTGTAGTGAGAGGCTCAAAACTGAACACAATATTGGAGGTACAGCCTTACAAGTGCTGATACAAGGGGACTATCACTTCCCTGGTCCTGCTGCCCACACTATTTCTGATACAGGCCAGGATGCTGTTGGCCTCCTTGGCCACCTGGGCACACTGCTGGCTTACAGTCAGTCAGCTGTCAACCAGCACCCCCAGGTCCTTTTCCGCTTTCCAGCCACTCTTCCCCAGGCCTATAGCAGTGCCTGGGGTTGTTGTGACCCAAGTAAGTACAGGACTCAGTAGCACGTGGCCTTGTTGAACCTCATACAGTTGGCCTTAGCCCGTTGCTCCAGTCCTTCCAAATCCTGTGCACGGAACAGCAAAGTCAAGTAGCGCATCTCACAGTGCTTACTCTTCATAACTCACTTGAGTTTCTCCAGCTTTATTGCCGCCTCCTGATTTGCAGTCTCCAGTTGTTGTTGTTTCTCCATAGCCAATTTCTGCAAATTAAATATTCAGATTTATTTTTGAGGGCTTGTATTAGAGCACTGCTCATTATTTCACATGAAATGCACCATCTCTGAACTACCAAGATATTCAGAAGAAAAGCTACCTGCAATTCTAGCTTCAGCCCACAGACTGTTACAGCTGTCTTTTCTCAAAATGATGAGAAGTGTCAAAACTTTGTTTACCAGGCTAAACTATCAAATAAGTTACCGGAAAAAAAACCATCAGATAATAGCCCAGGTAATAGCCTGGTCATAGTCATGCAGAAACCTTTATGATATTGACAAGTTCATCTACTCTTCTGTACTGAGATGTTTCCTGAAGGGCTTTGCAAAGGTTTTTAAGCCATTTACAGTAGCTGTGTATGGCTATAAAATGTAACAGCTGTACAAGTTTTACGTAACATTAAACCAGTACCTTCCTGCATTATCTTTAGTTTGCAGAAGAGGAGACTGAGGGGAGACCTCATTCATGGTTATAAATATTTAAAGGGTGAGTGTCACGAGGATGGAGCCAGGCTCTTCTCGGTGACAAACAATGATAAGACAAGGGGTGACGGACACAAACTGGAACACAGGAGGTTCCACTTAAATTGGAGAAGAAACTTCTTCTCAGTGAGGGTGACAGAGCACTGGACCAGGCTGCCCAGAGAGGCTGTGGAGTCTCCTTCTCTGCAGACATTCAAAACCCGCCTGGACGCCTTCCTGTGCAACCTCATCTGGGTGTTCCTGCTCCGGCAGGGGGATTGGACTGGATGAGCTTTTGAGGTCCCTTCCAATCCCTAACGTTCTGTGATTCTGTGATTACTTGGCTACATTTAAGGTTCCAATGTGTTATTTAAACATCCAGTTAAAATCACAACCTTTATGCTCCCAGTTCCAGGATACCTAATTAAGTGTAACTAATATTATCTGGAGTAACATGGCACCCAATCTTACGTAGTTCAGTTGTAAGTCCAAGTAGACCTCACGTCGGAATTCTCTGAAATTCACAAAGTTGATAAGGCCACTCAAGAAGCGAGTTGTCCTCTTTGGTTCTGAAACAGGAATTTCAAGCCATCACTGCTATGGTTTCCACAAGCATTACAATTGCTTAGAAAAAGGCAAACCATAATTCAGAGGAGAGGCAGAAATTACAAAGCAACAGAATCCAAATGAGTTTTTCCCCTGCTTACCTTGCAAGGATTTCACAACTACACAAAAACTAGCATCAAGCTATGAACTTAGAGTGTCTTAGCAATTTAACAAATGCAAATGGCACCTAGGAGAAAGACTATTAAAATGCAGCCTCTCATTAAAACAGAGGTCAGGGAGGAAGAGTGTCAATCTTCAACAACAACTCTGAAGACAGAGCCTCACTGAAGCTAACTGAAGGCAGCAGATTGAACTGCTGGGACATTCTGGCTCTATTCCAAGCAAACTTTGTGAAAGATGATTACAAAGGCCTTCAATGTCTTCAACATGACAAAGCCAGAAGTGAAAGAGTTCTTCAGAATAACCTTTTAAGTTGTTTGTGTTATACGAGAATCACCACAGCTGGGTATTGAAGAGGGTGTAGCAAAAATTCAATCACTCCCTACATAGGCATCAGCCTAAGAAATCCTATAGCATTCCAGAATTGCCAGGATAATTTTCACTGCCATCTATTCTTACACTACTTCAAGTGTGGCACAGTCCACCCTCCAGACCAGCAGCTCAGCAGACTCACAGCATTCAAAACTCCCATTATTTAACTGAATTAGCCTACATAAGGAATAAGGAGGACAACTCATTAGAGCCAGCTTCTCTAAGGGCCACAGCAAGTCAGAAGAGCAGCTGGCAGCCAGAGACAGTTCTCTGTACTAGATGCCCATCTGGTTATGCTAAGTGAGAAAAAGCACCTGGATATGAAGTGATACCCACCAACGCAGGAAACACAAGGATTACAATGCACTTGCTTACTTGGGCTTAAAACATCAGCAATTTGAAAATCACTAATCCGGCACACTGGAAGTAAGCGCTCCCTGCAAGGAAAACAAAATACAGCCTTATTTGCAGTGACCATTAGTAAATGGATCTAGCACAAAAAACTGAGGTAAAAAATATGTTCTGGATTGAGAGGACTATATATATA